AAAGATGAAAAAGGAAAGAATGTATAGAATTGAAAAAGGAAATACAATTCTCCCAAAAAGGAAATGGAACAACAATTTCCTTTTTCAAAGAAAAATGCAAAATCACTATTCATACATGCTTATGGATATGTGCCCTATGTTTGTTTCAATATAAATAGTCATTATTGTTTCACTGTTTTCTGCTCTTCTCTCACCCACTCACATAAATAGTTCTCTCTGTCATCAATCAGCCTTACATATGTGCTCTGCTTTATTGCTATTTATTAGCATATTAAATAAATTCTTATTAGTTTTTATTGTGTACAAGTTCCTAAATTTAACAGCTTTGTCAAGTGCTATTCTGTTGTCATGTTGCCTGGGAAATTGGGCTTTTTCCAGAGATCTGTCTAATCCACAGTGACAGGAGGATTTGGCCTAGTTCCTGTTGATTGTGTGCACTGAAAATATTTTCTGAAACTTAGATGCATTTGCTCCTTGAGTGTTTGTGGCTGGATCTTGAAAAGTGTTGACATTTCTGGTGTTTGTAAGGGAGTGAACTAGGATACTGAATCTGAAATAATATTGCCATTTTTGTTCCATCTTGAGGTCCTTCTTGTGTGCACTGGTCTTTGGAATTACCACACAATGTGTTGAGTTTTCCACTGCTTGAGAGCCCAACCTCTGTGCTCCTTGTGACATGTCTTGTGTCACACAGTGCAAAATGCAATCTTGAATAAACCTAAAGCCACGTCATTGATTAGGGTTCATCTGCTTACATTCACCTGCTCCTCTCATTCTCAAATTTGCTTATCCTGTTCCTCCAACAAGTTTCCCACTTCAAGATTTTGCCAAAACATTCCTGCTCTCAACCTCTTGACTTCATCAAGCCTCAAGATAGATCGCGTACAGTGAAAACCAATTCATTCACTATCGGCTACGTCCTCTGACCATACTCACCCTCATATTCCGTCTGGATTTTACAGCCCTGCTATCTAGTTCCCCTTCTAAAAAAAATCATCTTCGTCTTCCTTGTTCAGTCCTCAGATCTGATTCCATCTGTTTGTTTCTCTTTTCTCTTTCTTCTTCTTTTTCCTTTCTTTTGTTTTTTGGTTGTTGACTCAAGAATCCTTTAATACCTACAGCCTATCCCTGAACCCTCCTTCTTGCACCTCCTTCACTGAATAGTCCTCTTCTTCATTCCTGCTCTTGTTCTTAGTGGTATGCTTTCTTCTGTTTTCTCTTCTCTTTTTAATTCCTGATTTGACCTTGTATTGACTCTCTCTGTCTCAGTCTTGTTTTTGATTTCCCAGAAATCTATCAAGGTTTCTTCACCATGTTCAATGTGGTTTGGTAATGACAGCTTGATCATATTACCATCACGTTCAAATTTCATACCCAATATGGTGTTGGGTTTGTGACACAAGGAGTTGCTGAAACAGGTTTTGAATTCTTTTTCAAAATTGTTGCCAGGTACAACAAGTATCAAATCATCAATGTGAAAGAAGATCATTGCTACACTGTCATTGCAAATGTATAAGCACAGGTCACAGCTTGATTCCATGAATCTGATTGAATGAAGCCATCCCGTGAGGGTTTCATACCAGTTCTTAGGGGATTGCTTCAGTCCATACAAAGATTTCTTTAACTTTAGATAAGGGGTTGGTCTGTTGACTCCTTTTGATTTCTTGATGAATACCTCTTCTGGGAGTGGCACGTGGAGAAAGGCACCCTGAACATTGAATTGAGTGATCTTGAGTTTTTTGTGTAGCGCATACATGCAAAAAGTGGTAAATTTTCCTGTTGGAGCGTATGTTTCTTTGTAATCTGTGCCGTATATTTGATTGAGCCCCTGAACACACAGTCTTCCTTTGAAAATTAGAGGATTGCCGTGTGTATTGTCTTATATCTTGAAGACCCACGTAGTATCAAGTGGATTTGGAGGCTCTTCGGCGTGGTCTTCCCCGACATTGTGGCTTTCAATCGAGTTGAATTGATGAAATCCGTATCTTGTTGGAGGTTTGATTAGAGACGGATCTCTGAGAATTCTGGTTGATTGTTTTACAGGTGGTGACATCGGATTTGGTTGAGTTAATTCATGTTTGATGTTGAGTGTTGATTCATCTGAGGAATTTTCCTCCATTTCGACAGAGTCTTCATGATCAATGTTGTTCTCCTGGTGATCGTTAGCCGGAGTTGATTCAATGATTGGAGGAACTTGCTCTTGAGATTGTTGGAGATCTTCAGGATGGAATTGGATTTCATCGTCCGCATCGAGTTTGAATTTGAGATTTTCCTTTCTTAGGAATCAGACATGCTTTGATTCCAAGATTTTTCCTGATTGAGTGATCACACAGTATGAGAGTAGTGGTACGTTGAATCCGATCAGCCTGCCTTCTTCTCCTTTTGAGTCGAATTTCCGGCCTTTGATTCCAGTCAAGTTTAGGACAAAGAAATTAGGCGGAAACACTTTCCCGTGTAGCACTTCCCATGGGGAGGAGGTGGATCCTTTCCTTGGCAGCTGATTCAAACCAAGGCAACACAATTTCAAGATCTCATACCAAAAGGGTTTTACTCGTTGAGAGGGCTTTTGCGTACTTACACAATTCTTGCATGAACACTTCTAACGGAGCAGGATTGGTATTCTGACACCTCTTTCCTCATACCTTAAATAGAGCTATCTATAGCTGACTGATTCTCGTCACTACCTCATAATCAAAGCAGCATCAACACTTGCCTCATAACAGAATCTTATCTTGTTTTTCTATCGAGCCCTGACCCTCGACTATATCCTTCTTTTTCTTATTCTCCTGGGAGAAACGCAGGATGAGAGGCAGAATGGCTAGAAAATGGAGAGCATGAAGAAGCACAAGGTATGCAAAAGCTCGGCTTAAATCTGGTTTATCCATAGGTCGAATTATCGGAGGCTTTCTTGAGGTGACGCAGTGATTAGACACTACATACGGGCGTTTTGTTTGCTACGAATTATAGTTGCCTGTGCCAAACATACCTCAACATCTCTGTCCACCATTGCGCGCAACGACGACATGTTACAAGTGTTTCCCCTCAACATTGCCCGAGCTGTTGAAGGCCAAGCAGAACCCACTTCTCTCAAGTCAACCTCCATCCCATCTTTTCATGAGGTGCGCTTGTTGGGCGTCCTGTGCTGTTATTGTGAAACCTGACCAGTCGGCCGATTCCTCCTGAGCGAACCTGTGTATTCGACTTGTCGTGAGAAGAGCTGAGGGGTATCATTAACGAGTGCGGCATGATTCCGCGGAAAGGAAACAACAGAGGCTACCGAGCAACATGTCTTATATGGCTGAGTCCCCAATCAAATGTGCCTCAAGGGAGTAGCCGGGGCACGTCCAGAGCTTTGCATGTTCAGCAGGCCGGATAAGTGTTCTTGAAAACTTGAATGTATTTGATAGATGTAGTAGATGGGCTGAGGATTGAGGCTTTTCGGGGCAGACATGGGCATGAAACGGGAGCCTACCAAATGAGCCTCTGATAGAGACAGAGGCTTCACCACTCGCGCCCGTCTTCAAGGTGCCGGGGAGGGTGCTAGGTTCGTATTGTCATTAAGGGAGTCGACGTACTTATTTACTCAGGCAGAGATGAGAGAAACGCCGGCTCAGAAAGCGCTCTCAATTCGAGTCTCTGAGATCACTCAGGAGCCGCAGCGAGAGGATGCAGTGCAAACCCGTCCCATGACTTCATGGGCAGCCCAGTTTTTTGCGCAACGCCGGCCACCAATGATAAGTATTGATCCTATGCAGCCCAGTTAGCCGTTCAAAGTGTGGGGCGATGAGTCCTCGCGGTAACGAATAGAGGAGAAATATCATTCCGGAAGCCATGACATGTAACACAAAAAAAGAATTGTGTATCGACGATGCTCTGAACTTCTTCAAGCAAGACTATCAACAAGACGAAGCAGGAAGTTGTCCAGCTTTGTGAGGAGGACATCTAGTGCCATCATGCAGACTGCCAGCAAGTGCCGCAGGCTTCCAGTCCGCCGGGAGTGTGGATACATGACCACCATGGCGTGTGCATCTGACGCAGATTCGCAGTCTCCGTGAAGAATCGGGCACGGAAAGAAAATCTGCGGTTGAGCCAAGGGCGTGAGCAGCTAGCGAACAGCCCAGGAATCGAACTCATACCCCCTCTGTTTTGGTATATAATCCCCCTAATGTCGAACCTGACGCCCGCTTCGGCGGTGCATACGTTAAAATTGGAACGATACAGAGAAGATTAGCATGGCCCCTGCACAAGGATGACACATGTAGTCAGAATGGATTCACCCACGGGTTAAGATTTTTTTTTCCCTGCGATTTCCTTCTTGACCTCACCGTG